AGAGAAATGACCTTTAAATAGAGCAAGTGCTTGTGCCAAGGGCTGGTGTGTTCTTGGGGGTGCAGAGCTGGTGCTGCTCCGTGGGGTAAGCGCTGCTGCCGAGCTGTGCGTGCTGCTCAGCCCCGAGCACGGGGGGCAGGGGGGTGATGTTGGCCACACGACCTCTCCCTGGCTGCCTTCTGTGGAGTCCACTGCCAGGTTTAATCCTGCTCCCCTCTGCCACAGCCACCCTAGAGGGGCAGAGCGTGTTCCCAGCCTGCAAATGGAGCTGCTGCCCGAGCTCGGCCGGGGGGGTTTGGTTCCTCTCAGGGTAGGGGGATGGAGTAGACAGCTCTGCAAGCTGCTGGAGAAGGGGGAGAGCCCAGGACTTAGCCAAGCACACGTCACCTCGATGAGAGCTCGTGGCAGGGCTCCCTGAGTCTCTGCTACACATGTTCTGCTCGATCTTGTCAACTGGGAAAGGAGGAGAGCCAGCTGGGCACAGAGGCTCTGCAGAGGAGCAGAGCTGCCCCTGCTCTCCCTGCTCTGCCCTGCTGCAGGTTTACAGGAGCTGAGCCTATCACCATCCCACCACAAAACACTTCCTTGTGTTTTCTCTGGCTGTGTCTCACTTTGTAGCAAGGTCCTGCTAGAGAATTTTTGCTGTGGGAATGTTTCCTTTCAAACTGCACCCTGAAATCCAAGGATTTGCCTCTTGGGGGGTCAGTCTGTGGCACAGGAACAGAATCCTTCCCTCTGGAGACCCTGCTGGTCCTGTCCTTGCAGGCAGCATGGAGCAGCTGAGAGGTACTGAGGAGGCAGGAGAAGAATGGGAGGGGAGCTGCTGGGCTTGCTGAGGGCACCGTGCCTGGTTTAGCCTCTCCATCAGACCTGCAGGGCCCACAGTAGCTCTACACTGAGCAGTTCTAAAGGCCCAAGGAAAGTCAGGAGCGTGCAGTACCAAACATCTGGCTGGGAAGAAGAGATTGTAGATCAAGGTTCCTGTGTCCATGGCCTCACAGGTAACACAGGGATGTGCAGAGGGACCATCCCCATCTCTGCAGGGTGGAGATGTGAGACAGGAAAAAGATGGGTCTAGGTGGGTATCTGGCATGGGTATGTTGGGTTAGTGCCCAAAGACAGAAGAATTGGGAGTGTTTGTGAAGTGAGGAGATGTGAGGGAGCTGGGGCAAGCAAGCATGGCTCGTGTGTGTGCAGGCAAGCACACAAGCATCACCCTCTGTGCTCAGCTGCAGAGAACTTCCCCTCCCTAGTGTCTGTTGCTCCCTTCCAGGGAGGGAGGTGGCTGCTTCCTCCAGTTTTTTAAAATACAAGAATGTGAAAGCCGTTAACCTCACCTCAGGACCCAAACTGCAAAAGCAAAAAGTGAAAAAAAAAACACCCCAAACCAAAACCAACCCTCCCCTCGGTTCATGGTGGTGTTTGGACCAGGGCTGGGAGGAGATTTGGAGAGGAAAAAAAAAAAAAAAGTATTTAAAAAAAGAAGAAACAAGCCTGAGCAGTGAAAAGAACAACATCTGAGGAGCTCCAGGAAAACAAGGCATGAATACAGCCAGTCAGGAGCGTTGCTCAGCTGATGTTCACAAGAAGGTTTCAACTTGCTCTATTAGAGACCTCAGCAAACCTTAAAGACAGAGAGAGCATTTAGAAATGCCCCTGAGGTTTTCCGTTACTCTGCAGTAGGCTTGGTAAACATGCCAATAAATACTGGAGAGAGAGGGGAAAAAACCTTCCAGAGGAACAGAGTCAGGTTTTCAGCTGGTCAGTCAGTTGGATCCACGGCTGCTCTCGATCCGCACTGGGGAGAAAGAGGCAGAGTTGAACTTTCCCTGAGTATAAGGTGGTGCTGCAGGTATTCCTGGGAAAAAAATAACTCAGAGGAGGCTGGAAGTTACATCTGGAGCCATCTGAGGGAATGTCCTGGTTGGAGACAGAAAATTAATGGGACTCCTTCTGTCGTGGGCTGCTTGTGAGTATGGAAATGTCTCTGCTCTCCTGCAAGATGAGTGCGTGCAGGCGACCCAGCCTGGCTGCTGGGAAGGGGAGAAGCTCCCAGGAGTGTGCTGGGAGTTGGTAGCCCTGACTGATAGGAAGCCTCTTCATTCTGGTAGCTGGTTGTCCCACCCGTGGGGCAGCTCGTGGCGAGTGGGGCTGGCAGAACCCTGGGGGTCTGTGGGACCAGCGCTTGGCCCCAGCACCAGTGGGGGTTTCTTCTGGAAGAAAAGAGCTGAGCTGCTCTGAAGCTGAGCTGGTAATTCCTAACCCCTTCCTCTCTCAGCTCGACCAAAGGTGAAATCCACACGGTAACAGAGGAACACCAGCATCAAAACAACAGAAAGAGACAAATTGTTCCTGGTGCCCTAATTGCTGGGGCAGTTTCAGCCCACTGTGTGTATTAAATTAACAAAGGGAAGGCAGGTTCCCTCAGCTCTGAGATTAATGGTTCCTGGCCAGCAGTTTAATGCTGTTGCAGACGTACAAAAGCACCTGAGGTGTGTAATTAATGACTCTTCAGACTGTTGCAATGATGTGTTTTTCTAGCCAGACTGTTTGCTCCTCTGGCTTTCCTGGAAGTGGCCGTTCAGAGCCCTGTGATGCATGCTCGCCTCCCCACGCTGCCCTCACCTCCTGGGCATTGCTTTGAACCCCAAACCCACCTCCTGCTTCACTGCTGGTAGGTGGCCTTTGTTCCAGACCCACCTTGTTGCTCCACACCTAAGGTGGTGGGTTATTCTGAGGGAAGCTGAGAGCTGTGAGCAGCTAAAGCAGTGTCCAGAGTGCCACTGGGTGCAACTGGGAGCCACTGGGCACTGCTCAGCTCCTGCCTGAGCAACGTGGCAGCAGCCAAAAGCCCTTTGCTCATTTGGGAGCCTGGGAGGAGACCTGGGGCCACCTTGGTGCTGCACGGCCACCTTCTCTGTGCTGATGCCCTGGGGTGGCTGGTGGGAGCACAGTGGGGAGATGATGGGAACTGGGTGTGGGGCATCTTGTGGCTCACTCTGAGCTGGTACAAGAGCTCAACTCTGTTTAAGAGCTCTGGGTCCTCCCAGCTGAAAGCTCCATCAGCGATGCTCTGGGGGAGTGTAAGCTTTGGGTGGGGAGGGTCCTCTGTGGATTGAACCATGGGCCTGCCCACTGAGAGAGGTTCAACTCTCCCTTTTCTGGTAGGAGAGGGCTTGGGCTTGATGGTTTCAGCTGTCTTCATGGCTGAGTGCACATCCAGCCCATGTTAATAGGTGTGTGCAGCTACCAAACTACCAACTACCCATCTCATTGGTGCCCAGCAGCATGAGCCTTACCCCTGCTGCCCACAGGAGGTGCTTAGGAAAGGTCAGCAAACATCAGGTATCTTTGATAGCTGGTAAATGTGAGCAAAGACTGGAATAACAATGGTAAAATCAGGAATTCTGCCTGTTTTGTTGAGGGCAGCAAAGTCCTTTGCTCCTGCCTGCTCCAGAGGGAGGTTGGTGCTGATGGGGTGTTGATGCTTTTTGGAGCAGAGAGACAGAAACGTGCAGAAATTTTACTGATTTGAGCCTTTTTGGCTGCAGGAAGTGAGTGACTTGGGGCAGGGAGGGGCAGTGGAATGAACTTTAGGGGGTTTGTAACTAAGATGTGTGACCCTCAGCGAGGTCCCAGCTGATCTGAGCCTGTCTGGTGTCCCTGGAGCTGAGTGAGGTTGAACTTTTCAAAGCAGCAGTGGCTCTGGAGCTGGTGCAGGTACCACTGTGGTTGTACTGGGTGGGTGTTGGTGCAGGAATCCCTGCTGCCTGCTGGCTTTTGCCATGGCTCACCATGTTCTGCTGATGGTCAGGCTTTTTTATCTGAATTTTGTGCCTTCTTTCTCATGATGTTTGCCCAGTGAGCAGCTCGGTGACACCCTGAGCTCAAGCAGGGTCTGTGGGGCTGCTGTAACAGAAGCAAAGGTGCTGCTAGGTGGTGGTGGGCAGCTGGGGGGGGGGCTGTAGGTGTGGTGGGCTTGCTGCTGCAGGACCCACACGAAGCTCAGAGGTTTCAGTGAGAGGGTTCAGGCCACATGTATTCATTCACACACCCCCCAGCATTTCCCCTGAAGCCTGGGAGTTGTCATGGGACCTTGAGTCCAAAGCTTTCATTTCTGCCCCTTTGGTGTTGCTGGTGGGGAATGTCACGTGGTGCTCAGCTAATCTGAGCCTTCAGAAAGATCAGGGAAAGGGGGCAGGAGAGTGAAAGAACAGAATTTTTCCTGGGTGTGTTGAAGGCAGATATCTCAGGACCATTTGGCAAATCTTGGCTGTGTTAGTGAGCAAGGCAACAGCAGCTGGAAGCAGGTTGGAGGGAGATGGGGAGGTAGAGAGAGTTTGGAAAGCTGAATTGTTTTTCACCCCCTCTGTTCTTGCTGGAATACCACATTAAAATGACTTTTATGAAATCTCAAATAAAATATCGTGAATGCTGCTGAATTCTGGTTTCTCTGTCAGGTTCAGGGCAAGGTTTTGCTCCCCTTAAGGCAGGACCTCTGAGAGTTAGAAAATATTTGCTCCTTCCCTTAGTTTTCCAGCCCTTGTGACTGTAGAGAAACACTCCAAGCTGTGTCCCAGCTACATTCTTTAAATCAAAAACACAAAGATAAAGCACTCAGACCTACAGATGGATTGAACTATATTTTTGTTATGATTTTTCTCAATGTCAGCCTCTTGGCTTTTGTGGTTTAGAGTGGGGCTTGTAACTCCAGAATTCCAGAGACCTCAGTTGAGATCAGGGTCACAGAGTGACCCAGCCACTGGTTTGATAGCAAAAGCTTCCCCCAGCCCTCTCTCTTGCTGACTGTGCTGTGATAATGTGCCAAAACAACAGAAAAAAAAACCACTTTTGAATCTCAAGGATGGTGCAGCTGCAACATCCCATCCTTCTGACTTTGTAGTTAAGGGGAGCAGAGGGTTTGCTGTGGTCTGAGTTTTATCTGGGTGACATGAGTGCTGCTGGGGAGTGACACCCTCCTGATGTGTGTTGTTTTGCAGGAGCCAGGCCAAAGAGACTCCAGAGGAACAGCATGGACAGCTTAGACCTCCTGAAGTTCCCTTCAGAAAAGGTAAGCAAAGGTGTCTGGCCTTGGGGGTGAAGTGTCAGGAGGAGTCTCCTTGTTGACTGGCTTTGGTTGCAGGGGAGTGTGTGGTGAGCAGGTAGCCCTGGGATCAACCAAAGAGGGTTTCTGGAGAGCTTGGAGGGGAGGAATAGCTGGTCGAACTAAAAAGGCACTTAACTGAAAGCTAGAAAAGCCACTTTTGTGCTTCTTGGACAAAACAGCCCTTTATTGAGAGGATAACTATTAGCAGTTTAGCCCCTTTATGGCTGGTGGCAAATCTCAGAGCCTGGTTAGGCCAGCCTGGCCCAGAGCAAGGGGAGGGCAGCAGGAGCTGGGGCACTGCAGGAGCCAGAGGCTCTGAGATTGCCTCTGCTCTGGCTCAGTGCTGGCAGTGCCAGTGCCAGGCAGCTCAGCATCTTCTCAGCCTCCCTGAGAAGGGAGTCCTGTGGGGTGTGTGCAAGCTCCCCTCTGTATGAGAGTGCTTGGGATGCACTTCCCCTTCCCTGCCCTGTCATCCTGCTCTCCCCAACCTGCACCCTCTTCCTTGGTTTGAACTTCCCTGGTTTTAGCTCCTAGCTATTGTTCCTTGTTTATTCCTCTCCCTACCAGACTCAAAATCTCTCTATCACATGCTGGTTTTCACCCTGAAGGTGCTTACGTGCCATAATTGAGTCATCCATCCTTTCTGTCAGGAACTAAACAGTTTGAGGCCTCTAGGTAAGGCAGTGAGGCATTGGAAGGCAGCTTCTTTCCTCTTCTGACATCCACTTTCGTGGCAGCTTTTCAAAACGTGGACACCAGCCTGGCTGTGGTTGGTCCCATCCATAGCACCCACATGGTGAATGGTCCTGTCCGAGGGCCAGAGCTGCAGGAGAGCAGCAGGGAGGCTCTGGTGGCAATGCAGGCAGGGCCATTAACACCCCGGGGGGCTGGCAGGGGAGGGACAGGGCTGTGTGTGACCATGGCAGGGGAGTGGGCAGCAGGGTGCAGGAGATGTGTGAGCTCTGTCACCTCGGGTTCCCCACGTGCTACATGGGGGGATCATCCTGCATCTTGTGTGGGCATGGGAGGACTGAGCACAAGCACGTGAGAGAGCAGAGGACAGCAGTGAGAGAACAGGGGACTGCTTGTAACCATCTGCTGTCACCCTGTGGTCCTCATGTGCTTCTGGAAGCCTGAGGGTTGGTCAAAGGGCTGAATGGGACTCCAGCCATTCATGTGGAGCTGCCTGTTAGGAAACTGTTGGGTGAGGGCTGTGCTGACTGGAGCCAGTGGGAGACACTGAGGCAGGAGATGCTCCAGCTGTGCTGGGGCCAAGTCCTAGAGGTGGGAAATGCTGTGGAGCATCTAGCCTAGCCATGTTCCTTGGGGTGGTTTATCCATGGTTTGGTGTGTGCTGCTGCGTGGCTGGGCACTGGGAAGAAGCAAAGATCCAGCAAGTGGAGGGCCTTGTGCCAAGAGGTTGGTATCCTGGGCAAGGTGAGCTTGCCACTCTCTTTGGAAGAGGTTTTTATGGGTGCAGTTGCCAGAAGTCATTAGCAGCAGTGACTGCTCCTGGACCTTTCATCCACTGCTCCCTGTGCTGTAAATAAATGAGCCGTGCCTCTCCCTGCATACCTGGGGGTGCCAGAGTCTTCCTGCCTGTTGTTTGGGTGATGCTTCCTCTCCAGTCCTTAAAATCCCATGCTGTAGAGATAAACAAACTGCCCTCACTCAACCTCATGCACATGATGAGTGGGAACTCACACCCTCTGAACTCCCTGTCAACTCACTTCTGTGAGTCTCCTCTTCTGGAGCTGCTTACCAGCAGATCTCCACCTAAACCTGAGAGAGGCAATTTGGTCAGGGGCTGTTTCTTGCTTTCCCAAGGAGCAGAATGGGGACAGCCATCACGTGGGAGACCTGAAGATCTCAGGAAAAGAGTTCTTGTCCTTACCTGCGAGGTCGAAGAAGTACCGGGAGCACCAGTCCAGCTCAGAGAGAAGGTCCCAGGGCTCCAGTACCTCCCCGCTGGACACCAGTGAGGTCCGAGTCCACGTGTCCCAGTCGGTAGGATGATGATTTTTTCCCTCCAGTGCTAATCTGGGTGTTTCTTGTAACGTTTTTGTTCCTATCTCATTTCTAACCTCGTGTGGGGGTGGCAGTGGAAAACGGAGCCTGTGCCTCGCTCTGCTGGTGGCTCTTTGGGCAACTGCAGGGAAATCATTTTGCCTTTTAGAGCCTCAGCATCACTGTCCATCTAACAGAACAATGGTACCAACCTCCACCATGGACTGGTTTGTGAGAGCTTGGTGGTTAGTGGTGGTATTTGTAACCTTCTCTTGGGGGGTGGGAGTCTAAACCTGAACTTCCATGAGTTTGGGGCTGCCAGGATGTGCTGGCTTGAATTCCAGAAGAACACAGGAATTTGGAGCTCTTGCTGTGGAGCCTGACTTGATCAGCCTCCCAGGGTTCCTGGGGAGTGCAATTGCCTTCAAGAAACAGAGTCCTTTCCAGATTTTTGATGAGCAACAAAAAATGCTGGTTGCCTTTGCCCAATCTGGGACCTTAGGTCCTGTTCCCTCTCATCTCCTGGAGACATTGGTGGTCTCCAGAGTGGCAGTGTGCAGAGGGGCCTTGGAATACATCAGTCATTAGGCAGAGCTGGTGTGTCTAGGAGCTTCTCTTTGGAAGCAGGTTAGGTGGAGCACACTTCTTAAAGAGCAGGAGCTGGCCAGAGGAGCTGGCCCTGATGTCAGAGATTCCTGAGCCCCTGGCAAGCAGCAAGCCCTGCGTTGGGTGTTGAATTGCTCTGACTCAGCCTGTGCTTGTCTCCCCAGGAGATGGTGGGGATCTGTGCCCTGGAGAGCTCTCCAGGTGCCTTTCTGATGTCATGAGCCTGAACAATGGAGCTGTTAGGAGGCTGTTATTGTCTGGTGGTGCTGGTGTTTGTTGTGACACGTGGCACCCAGGAGGTGCTGGGGAGGTCCCCTGCAGCTCTGTTGGGTTTGCTCAGTCCTGGAGACAGGGATCACACCCACAGGGTGCTTCTGGGTGGTGGGAGGGGGCTTGGAGACACCCAGACATGGGGATCTGAAGTGAGAAGCCCCAAGTCCTTGGCTTGTTGTTGCCAGAAGATGGAGAGTCACAGCAAAGATTTGGTGGCCACATGGGTGTTGGGAAGTGTTTGGGCTCTTGCTTCGTGCTGAGACTGTCACACACTGTCACAGTCCTGGGCTCACACAGTGACTCCAGGCAGAATAAATCCAAGCCAGGAAAAATAGAAATATAGACCTTTTTTTTAGTGACATTTAGGGAAAGTGAAATAAAATATGTCTGGGTAAGAAAGGGTCTGAGCTGCCAAGCTTGGGATGAAGCCTGTCTGTAGAGTGGGATACTTGACAGTGTTTCTAGCACTGAGTCCTTTGTTCCTGCCCTACAGCTCAGGAGAAGGTGTCCTGCTCTACCTGTCTGCATGTGTGCACTTACACATCCCTTTGTGACCACAACCAGTCCTGATTTTGGCTCTCTGGCCACTGGAGACAGGCTCTTTACACCAGCTGGGCTTTTTTTAGACTTCTCTGAGCTCATCCTTCATTCCCAGCAGTGCTTGTGGAAATGGTCTGATAGGAATAACATTTCCTACTGCTCACCGGTGCAAACGTGATCATTGAGAAGGAAAACAAAGCTCATCTGAGCCAGAAAGGAGACAGCAGCACGGGGGCATCCGAGGCAATGCAAAGGCAGGAAAAAACCCCTCACTTCTGCCAGAAATAACTTTATATTTTTAACTCGGACGTTCAGCCAGAAACCAAACAAAAGCCATGCTCCCTCAAGAGCCAGGCAAAAAGCATTCCTCAGGAGTGTGGCTGTGTCTAAGAAAAGGTCCCCTGGGACACTGCCAACCACCAGTGACCTCGTGACAGCACACACGGGGCTCTGGTCAGCATCCATGAAAGAGCAAGTGTAGACATCCCCACTGCAGTCCCAGGAGGTGCCTCTCAGCCCCTGGGGCTCGTGCTGTCCCTGGCTCTGATGGAAGTGTGTGAGCAGGCAAAGGACACGCTGCTCTTCCCACCCTTCAGGGGACAGGGGGCTGAGCAGCAGGGATGCAGACCCCAGGGTTTGCTCTTGCAGAGGGCTGGCTGGGGCTCCCCATGACTGCTGCAGGATTGTTCCTTCCCCAGCTGCTCTCCCGAGGCCTCTTCCCCCTGAGCCTTGACTCTGACTCTGCAATGTGTCTGTGAGCTCCACACGTGCCCTGGATTTGTGGGCTGAGCCTTGAAGGGGACATTTTTTGCTCAGTTCCCAGGCACGCCTGGTGTCCAGGGTCGTGAAATAGCGTAGGGTGAATTCATCAGCAGCAGTGTGTGCCAAAAAAATGTTACCTTCCTCCTTGCAGGCATTAAACATGCCCTGTTTCATCCCAAGAGAAGGTTGCAGGCTTTGTAGGCAGATGCTCAGAGTGGCAGAGGGGGGGGGTTTGCTTGGCAAAATGCAGGTGGGACACCAGAGCCTCCCAGCATCTCAGCAGGGCATCCTGCCAGACTTCCTTGAGTGGCCAAGGGGGCTGGAGCCCCCCCCAGCTACATTTTGCCCCTGCCTGTGCCCCCTCAAGGTGAAGGCAGGTGTATTTATATCCCCTTTCCTAAATTTTTCTGAATTTTTTTTTTTTTGGGAAGTGCAGGAGCTCCCCAGCAGCCAGGGCTGGAGAGGCTCAAGAGGCATTTGAGATTGCTGCCCGAGCCCTCAGTGCCTGGCAGTGCCACGTGGGTGCTGATTGCCCAGGCATGGCAAGGGGTGCTCCACCACTCCAGCTGCCCATGGCCAGACCGTGCCCCACCCCACGTGAAGTGCCCTCCAGAAAAGGCTCCTTCTCCAGGAGAAGGTCTCTGCAGCATGTTCTGCTGGGCTGGGCTGGGTCCCTTCAGGTGGCCTGTGCTTTGTCTGCTCCCAGGTGACAGTGAGACCAGCCTGACTCGGGAGCAGAGGCCAGAGCTCAGAAGGTTTCAGGTCAATGTGGTGTTGCTGGGACCTGCCAAAAGCCAAGCAGCCCGTTGCCTTGGGCTCTGAATTTGGGCCCACCAGTCAGGGGTCTCCAGTGCCACCTCAGCCTGCTCTGTGGGACTGTGGGTGGGCTTTTCTGAGAAGCTCTAATTCCCATCCCTGTGAGACTTCTAAAATGAAATGTAGCAAACCCCACCTGAGGCAGGAGAGATGCTTTCCCTGGTCGGGCTGTTCAGACAAGAATCCCCCCAAATTCCTCACTCTGCTTGTGCTCAGAGGAAAAATCCTCTTTAATCCATCAGCAAACAGCAAGTCCTTAATTAGAGGTGAGCTCTAGTGGTTGATTAGGGTGTTTTAATAAGATGCCACAATAGGCATCCCATTAAAAACAGAAGGTCCCGTGTGCTGCTCTCCCACTGGTGTCTTGCAGAGGGGAACCAAGGCTGGGCACAGGGATGCCCAGCAGAAAAAAAACTCATCCCAGGACTCCCAGGATAAGTCCTGCTGTCCACACAGCCACTGACCTGCTTCCAGAGGGACCTTACTGCAGGTCCCTGGGATGGGACAGTCCCACGGGTCCGTGCCTGGGTTGGATCTCCAGGGTTGGTTGCCCATCTCTGCCACCACCAGCCTCATGTTTACCCCCCTCTTCTATGTGATGGGGTGATGCTGCTTCCCTGCCTCCCCTGGGGAGCTGACAGAGGCGTGATGATGGCTGTAAAGTTGGTTGAGCTTTGGGTGGCAGGAGCTCTGCTGGTGTTATTAGCATCGGTGATGATGCTGCTAATTACCGAGCTGCTGGGAAACTCCCCATGGGAGGAGGCGGCAGAGGGGAGGGGAGGCAGGGAAAAGTAAAGGGAGGGGAAGGGAGCTCGGGGATGGAGAGGAGCCTGTCCCTGCTGGCAGCTCTGTCAGGGCCTGGGAGAAGGTCCCAGGCTGTTGGCAGAGCCGTGGGGATGCTGGGATCCATGGGAGAAGCTGTGGCCCAGGTGCTGCGTAAGGTAGGACGACGTGCCAGGGCAGGTCCCTCTGCACAGCTTGGACCTCCCTGCTCTGCTGTGGGAGGTGCTGGTGCTGCACACGATGGAGAGCTCCTGCAGGAGGGTCCTGTCTCTGGTGGGGCAGAGAGTTGGGCTTCCTCACCCTTCCCGTGGCCTTGGGAGCTGGGGGAATTTCCCAGCCCTGGCTGGAGGTCGCTGAGAGGAGAGGGACTGGCACTGCCTGGGGCTGGGGGACAGGTCCTCCTCACCTCTGAGGTCAGGTCTGGAGCTCCCGTGGTGGGAGTACTCGGGGCTGTGAGTGGGTCTCCACAGGCAGAGCAAAGCTGGGTTTGGTCTGGGAGGAGCTGGTGAGGGGAAGATGCATTTGTTCACACTTTCTCCCTGTTGCAGCAGAGCCCTGAGCATAAGTAGCTGCATTAGGGCTTGGTCCCTGTGCCTGCAGTCGTGGGTGGCCAGGTCTGAGTGCTCACTGGGACTCGTGCACCACACACCTGAGTTTCCTCTCTTTTAAAAAAGTAACATCAAAGCAGAAGGTTTTGTACCACGTGAAGCTGGCAGACTTCAAAGGCCAGCTCATAAATTTAATCCCCCTGCTCCGCTGCGGACAAGGTTGTAACACTGCAGCTCTTGCTGCTCTTGGTAACAGCTGTATTTTAGAGGGTTACTAGAAGGAGGGGATTTTTCAAACACTTCAGCAATACCAGTTGTGTGTCCCTCATCTCACTCTCTGAGAGAGCAGCTGCTGTGGAAAAAGGAGAGGGGCTGTGGAAGAGAGGGGCTGTGTATTCCTGAAGGGACTGCCTGGGAAGGGGCTGGGGAGCTGCCCCAGTTCTGGGCCATTTCACTGTGCACATGCTGCACTTCAAGGGGTAAAGGACTTTACTGGGTCCAGGTCCAACAGCTGGAGCAAAAGCCATGGCTCAAGCCAGTCCTCTCCCCTCCTTGGGGGTCCATGCTCTAGAAAGGATCCTGCTCTCCTGGGCTCTCCTCTCCCCAGGGGGGTGCATCAGCTTGGGGGAGCAACTCCTCGCTCTGCAGACCTGTCCTCCACCCCTCAGCAAG